CTCCCCCAATCCCCCCTTTTTCCCTTTTTTTGAAAGGAAATAGTCCTGGACTACTTTCTTGCATCTAATGTCATTGTTTTTCTCCTGTGTTGTGGCAGTTGGAGTCTTTGCGCAAGGATATGGAATATATGATGCTCAATCTGAGTCAGGAATCCTTCAAAACTGGGTAAGCTAGCTGTTATTCTGCCTGGATTTTGGGGGTGCTCTCGCTTTTCCGCCCTGCTATTTTGTCGTGTTTGCTTGTGTGCTATCACTCCTGCTTCTGCCTCCCTTTTCTTTGTTTTTTTTGCCCCTTTTTTTCTGCCTCCTCATTTGTTGTTCTCCGTTGATTGGTTGGTTGCCTGATAAACAGCTGTAGCAGTACCAGCAGCAGTAGAAGAGGACTGTTTTCGGACCAGGTTCAGGTTCCACAGCAGTATTCGGAAGCACCGGGGCTGGCGACGACGCGAGATGTAGCGGCAAGGAATGACAAGAAGTGCGATGTCCCCCTCAAATTTGCTAACTTAAAAGGATTCAAGGGTGCCAACCACAAAGCCTGTCCGGAGAGCATGAAACTTCTTCCTCAGCCAGCGTCGGTCCCGGTCCCAGTTACGGTCACAGATCACCCTCTCAGTGCTCACAAGCAGGTATTTGTGATTTACACCCCAGCTCGTCCTACGGCTCGACAAACTCTCCTCTCTCCTATCCTTAGATGAGGAGTTGTTGGTGTGTGTGTACCTTGCTCAGTGTCGTTCTTGCGAAAATGCCTTACATTCTATGAGTCTACTCCTTTTTTTTGCCCTTCGTGCGAATCCTTTTGTCGTGTAGGCACCCTTTGCCCCTTCCTTTCAAAAAAAAAAAAAAAAAAAAAAAAAGGACCTTGTGGCCCTGGCTCCATTTCCATTCTGGGGAGCGTCAGTCCCGCTTGCTTGTCCACCGGCAAGTCAATCATTACAAAATTAAAAGTTTACTTTTTAGTATTTAGTATTTACACCCTCCTTTCCTTACCTCTTCTTCTACGGTAGGTAGGATGTTTTATACATAACTTGTCCAGTTGATGTAGCTCAGTGGTTAGAGCACCGGTTGGAAATGCGCATTGTGGTATGAGGTTGCGGGTTCAAAACTCTGCAGCCTTGCGCATGGACACCGGCAGGGCGTTAGAATGACGCACGGCTGGACACACACTCCCCTGGGCTGACACATGGTACTATTACAGACACTGCCTGCGCACCACCCAGGGGACTGTCCATGGTGTTGCATGTTGGGTCCTGGCCTATGAGGGGTTTGCCTGATACAGTTAGCAGTCTAATGAGGATGCAGGTACGGGTTTGTGGTTAGACTGCTCMTGTGTGTTGGTTACCTTAGGCTCTGCTTTGGGGGGGCAAGGACCTTAGGTGGGATGGGGTCCCGTTTGGGGGGAGGGTTGGCTTGGGACAATCTCTGCTGGAGGATATCGGTGGGGAACCTACAGTAGGGGATTGTCTTAAGGGATCCCGGTAGG